ACCGGATCGAAGCATAAGTGGTATGTCTTTAATTTTCTTTATTTTTTGCGTTGTTTGATGTTTTTTGTTGATATTCATCCTCATCAGAATTATAATTAGTGTTACCTACCATCAATGCCTGATTCGAAAGATCATTAATAATATTAACAAAAAATGAAAATGAAAAAGTACACTCACAGTTTACTCTATAAAGTAATATACAATACACATGTAAAATATACAATTTAGATTTTTCATGATAAAAATTACCTGAATATTTGAATAATTTTCAACAGCATTTTTAATTGAGGGTTCTAAATCTTTAGAACCTAAGTTATCGTTGTTCTCGTCATTATGATATTTAGCCTCTATTGACATTTTTTTTCTTATAATCTATATCTTATAATCTATATCTATAATCTCTCTCTTGTCTACGTACAAATTTTATTCATGCTCTTTATCTATATGCCCGCTTATAAACTGTTTTCTAGCATTTTTCTGATCTTCAAAAAATGCTAAATCTTCCTCTTTACTCTCTTTGTTTCTTGGCATATCTTCACTGAGTTGTATAAGCTCATTAATATTGGGTTTTCCAATGTCACAATGAGTCTCCATGATTGCTTGAAATTCTATAACTAACTTTTCTTTGGTGTCATTTTTCCAAACTAGCAACTTTTCCTTGCTCATTGATACCCATTTTTTGTAAAGTTTCACAAATTTTAATAATATTTTATCCTCTCCGATAATATAGTTTTTAAAACCAAAGGACTCCCAGGTGTTCACTATTTTTCTAAGAAGACACAAATCTCTATTTTCCTGATAACACGTTGTTTTTGCTTTGAATTTCATGTTAAAATTTGATTCCATAGGACAAGAATAATTATAGTAAATACTTCTAAATCGTTCTGATCTATTGCGGATTAAATATTGATAATGTCTTAGAAGTAATCCGTTAGTTGGAAGTTAATTCAGAGGTAAAAAAGAAATAGGAGATTCAAGAAGGTAAAGGGGTCTCCTACAACTGACATTCAGATGTCTAACATGTTTTGCCTTTTGTTCAATACTTGATTGCATCTTTGTGTCTATATGTGGGCTATAACATAAATAATGTTTAATGTTTATTTTTTATTCATATTTAATTTAAAAACAACTTATTAAATTTAAATCCTAAAAGTTAAAACTGCATAATACCGGTATTAAACCTTACCTGAAACTATGTTTACTACAATTTTTTTTTTATTAGAAGTTTTGTTAACAGTTTAAAAAAGTTCAAAACTGCTGTAAAACGTTTTGCAATGCAATGTTATTCTATTCATTAAATGAAAAGCTAAACTTTAAATTAAATTTTTTCTTTTCCAAATGATACATTTTAAAGAAGTAAAAAAATATTGATGACTGATCTCTATAATAACTGGATAGCGCATCTCTATTAACAAAAGTGAAGCCAATTTTTTGTACGGCCGCCATATTGGAAAGCCCCAGAATACCGAAAATACAGTGATTGCGCTTGAAGATGTACCTTTTTACTTTGTTTATATCTACTTGACCAAGTCACATATTTCAATGATATTATTATATTTAAAATGTTTGAAGGTGTAAAAATTATAAAAGGGAATCAAAAACACGCAAAACATTAACGACGAAGAGAAATATCGTTATAAAGAAATAATAAAGTTTGTATTGCTTTCTATGAACTTGTTAAATTTATTGAATTCATGATATTCTAAATAAAACTTTTCTGAAAGACAAATTGATATTTGATCTGGTTACTTTTGGGTGTTTATTTTAACAACTTGATGCGACCTTACTTAGCAATAGTAGCTGGAAAGTAACTTTACAAGTATGAAACATGATAAAAACATTGTATCAAACATTTTTGTAAATAGTTTTCTAATTTTTGAAACTCTGAGGGCATGTTTATATTGTTCCACAACTGAAATATCATCAACTATGCAATACTTTATTAAAATTGATATCACTTAATAACAATGTTTTGTTCTGTTGCCTTGCTAACTTTAATTACACTTTGTGAAGGTTTGAAAAAGCCATCTCTAACTTTAAAAAACACTAGATATTTGGTAATAACTAGTTATTTGCAGTTTTACATTAAAGTATTTAATGTTTTAGACTAAATAACAGCATCACATACATGTTGATTGTTTATATGTAAATATGGTATAAATGAAAACAGACATGGTTTCTTTCAAGTTTTTTTAAAACTATCAACTCTAAAGTAAAATAATAATGATTCAGCTTACATCTATCAGTTTTATACTGATAAATATTAGTTGTATAATTAATAAATATTAAAAATGTTTCTTGTAAAAACAAAAAAGCAACATAAAAGACCAAAATAAAGGGTGAACAATTTTTTTTATAAGTGTACATACTTTTTTACTTTTCCCTACCACATAATACCTTTTTATTCAATGTTTATTTTGTTATTCAATGCTTATACAAGTTATTCAATGATTATTTTGTTCAAGATGATAGAGCTAACTATTATTTTATTTATATTTTTTTACTTTAACATATTCTTTTGTAATTGCAATATCTTATACATATATGTCCTGGTGTTGTGAAAATGTCTAATGGCATTTACAAAAATGTCTTGAAAGTATTTTTCGACAGTTAAGCGTTAAGTTAATTTATATATATATATATATATATATATATATATATATATATATATATATATATATATATATATATATATATATATACATACACACACCCACGCAAGAACAAAATTATTAAAAGTAAATATAAAGATTTTCTATATGTTGCCTAAGGAACCTTTAGGTTGTGTTACAATCACATTGCCTAACTAATGATTCATACAGCAAACTTGTAAGCTGTTTACCTTGCAAATATGTTACGAGCCTCAGGCATTTTGCAGAGGGCAATTAAGAATCAAAAGGTGCATACTTATATACACTTGCATGCTATTATAATAATATTATACCAGGGTGGCCAGTTAACTGGAAATCATGAAAAAGTCAGGGAATTTTTTTCTAGTCAGGGAAATCAGGGAAAAATGTATTTTTTGAAAACTTAACTTTTTTGAAAGGTTTTTTTTTACTTGCTCCCAAACAACAAAACTTAAAAATTCACACTTTAAAATATAACTGAGTCAGGAAAAAATATAATAAGTCAGGGAATTTAATTGTTGAAAGTGGCTGGCTACCCTGTATACATAATTTATATATATATATATATATATATATATATATATATATATATATATATATATATATATATATATATATATATATATATATATATATATATATATATATATATATATATATATATATATATATATATATATATATTTATGTCACTCTCCATGAAATAATCTGAACATATAACATCAGATTTACTCGGTTTTTAATAATCAATGCATTTATAAAGTTTTTGCATTTTTTTATTTATCAAGCGAAATCTGTGCTTTAAGCGCATATAAGTTTAACGCAACTACGCATTTATAAATTCTGGGGCTTTCCAATATGGCGTCTTTTGGCTTCAAAAATTTCGAAATTTCATTAGGAGATGCGCTATCCAGTTATTATAGAGATCAGTGCGACATACGAAGAAAATTTTGAAGATACGGTTAATTATGAAATCATCTGATTTCTACATCTCGCACTAATACTAGTCCTTAAAACAAAACCAAAACAGTTTTAATATCATTCAGGGGTGTAGAAAAGAATTAGATACAGTGTTAATTTTTTTTTTTTTTTTTTTTGCAAAAAAATTGTCACCCTATTGTGAAGTTTTAATATTTTCTGCCTACATGTATGCACGCATGTTGTTTACAAAAAGATGTGACGTTGCACGGGAAGTCATCTATATAGTAGGATGTAGTCTCTAGTTTCCTGAATAAAAAACAGATGAACTTTGGTTTGAAAGTACTCAAAAATCTTTGGTTTTATTTTTGAAAAAGGTCACCCACCATGACCCTTTATTTCACACTGGCTCCCATACATCAGTGAATTTTTTTTCTTCAAGAGTATTTCAACCTGGGTCTCAAAAGAACCAGAGTTTCATAGAAATTTCAGAAATGCTAATGTTTTCAAAAAAAAATGGATCGCTCAAGTTTTATTTACAAAAAAAAAAAACAATTTTTCACTAATTTTTTTTTTTTTAATATAATATTTTTTTAAAAAAATGTTTCAGTAGAAAAGATTATTAATTTTGAAATCACTATAAAATTCAAGTTCTTTTGAGACCCAGGTTGATATACTTTTGGAGAAAAAAAAGTTCACTGATATATGGGAGCCAGTGAGTAATCAAGGGTCATGGTGACCTTTTTCAAAAATTAAATAAAACCAAAGACTTTTCAGTTACTTTTAAACTAAAGTTCATCCGTTTTTTATACAGTAAAATGGAGATACCAAATATTTACCAAAAAGTCAACACCCTACACTACAGTAGCTTATACGCACCCGCTTTTTCTATATATTGAGTAAAAATTGTTGAAATAGAGTCCATGTTTTTAAATAAAAGCAAACAAACGTTCCAAAATATTTTTATGTTTTGGATTGGCAGAAATGGTACAAACGATTCGTAAATGTATTTAGAATTTTTGTTCTAGATGCGTTCACACGAGAGTATTTGTTAATGTTCTATGTTCAACTGTTTTAAAGGTAAATTTGATCAGCTATCACCATAATTACCATACCTCATAATATTCACGCACAAGCTACCCAGGCTAGATGTTGATGGGCTTACGGAACATGCCCTTTCTGTGTAATTTAACTAACTACACTGAGCTTCTAAGTTAAAGACTAAAAAAAAATATTTTAAATGTTATGACATCTTTTTTAACTAACAATGCAAAGGAATTATTTTAACTATTATTTTGCGTTTATAACGTGTATAACTTTGCGTTTAATCTTTTTTGTAATCAAAATACTTTATTTTTTAATTTAAAAATGTTGATAGATAAAATAATTCTTTGTCTTAGAACAAATTTATTATTTCTAACTATCTTTTTTTTTTTTTTTTATTATTATTAGCAAAAACAAGACATTGTCAAGCGTAACGCAAAAGATCTATCTTGTTGTGATGATGACAATCAATACTTTGATATTTTAAATAAAACAAATTCATATCCAAGAATAGCGGAAACTAAAAACTTTTGTGTGTCATGCCCCAACAATTCCAAAGCAAAACTCTTCAGTTATTTTTGTCAAAAGTGTCCTGATAATTTTGAAGAATCAAAGGAATGGTTTGGCTGCGTAATTAAACAACCAGTAAAACCAAAAAAAAAAACACCAACGATTTATAAGAAAAAAGGCATTGACAAAAAGTCAATTAAAAAGATTTTCAAAAATTAACTAAAAGCATTTATGATTTTTAAAAACTATATAAAACTTGACTTTTTATTTCTATATTATTTACATAAATACAAATAAATTTTGTTAGAGTTTGAATTTGTCATATAAAGATATATACCGTGATAGCGTACAATTATTACAATATTTTTTTAGTTTTTTTTAAAGGAGTACAGTTTTCCATGAAATAATCAATACGCCCAGTGCGCCCTATATTTGGTGCCGCCTCCGCGCCATTTTATTATCATATGATATATATAAATAAGAACTGTAAAACTATTTAGTATTATTGCTTTATGCGTAAATAAATGATCATTTATTTTCTGACAATTCAATTAAAGGATCATGTACATCAAAAACTTAAAACGGCTTTGACACTTGCTCTCACTCTTTTACTCAATAGTAAAATGACAATGCTGTTTTCATTTTACTATTGTACTATTGTACAAAAGAAAAAGATAAGCTCTTTAATCAACAATCAAGCTCTTTAAAGAAGTTTGATGAACAAAGCAAAAGGAAGCATACATGAACTTGGAGGGTTAGTAACAATATTGTCAAAGACTACAGTTAACAATATTCTAGCTGCTGTTTCAAACTTGATCAGTAAAGAAAATTGTATATTAGAAGTTTAGTGTTCAAATGTTATGTACTTACATAACATTTAAAGAGGACATCAAAAAGCGATTGTTAGTTATAAAAAAAACCATGGATTCAACAGGTTGAGGACTAAACCAACTATTGAAAACAGAGCTTGAACTAACCTTATTGAGCTTATTAAACCCGTCTTGAAGTTTTTAAACGCTTAAAACTTAGATAACATGCATAAATATCAAAAGTGTTTGCCATTCCGTAAGATCACGTTCCTATTTTTAATCTAAATATTAATTTTTGAATAAATTTAATTTGTTTGGTACTAAAGAATCTTTATCTGCTTAACCTTCTTTAGAAAAAACGTTCCTGTCGCAAGTGTTGTTATCAATAGTAGTCTTAAGAAAAGCACAATATATAAGAGAAGTCATATAAAACTACTTTCTATGCAAGGTTGGAATGAAGTTGAGTCAAAATAATTGATACAAAAAACCTCTAGGTTCAAGCTAAAGATTTAAAAAATCAAAATCATAAAAAAAGGTTTAAGCAACCATCATGTATATCAAAAACTTAATAGCAAACGTCTTTAACACTTGCTTTTACACTTTTATTTAATAGTAAAATAAAAACGCTGCAGTCATTTTATTATTGAGTTTTACAACAGAAAAAGATATAAGCTCTTTAATCAACAAAGTTCTAGTGAAAAAACAGAAAGCTCAAGTATTGAAAAATGTTGAAGTATTTAAAGAAATTTTTTCAGCAGTCATTTTTATTGTTTATTTTACAAACAAACTATAGATGTAGCAAGTGCAGGACTATACCAGCTATTAAAATCAGATTTTGTACACAGTTATTTAAAAATTGAAAAAACTGCGGGTGATTCCTTTTATGGAGCAACAAAAATGCGTGGTAAATATCATGAAGTGTACTGTTACATTAACGACATTTTACCAAATGCTGTATACACGTGGTGTTACACGCATGTAAACAGTATTTTGGTAAAATTTGTTTACAATAGATTTTTTGAAATGCGTATAAGCAGTGGCGGATTAAGGCCCGGGGCTATTATTGTTTTAAGAGGCTTTTTCAATGGTCCTCTAAAATTTAGGGGGGTCCCTAAATTTGCGGGGCCTGGGGCTATAGTCCTCTCCCCCTTGATCCGGCACTGCATATAACGGGTAGCCGTAACAGTATCGAAAACAGCCAAACTGATTAATCTCGAAAACGGAATTTTCAGAATAACATCGAAATAGAGAATAACACCGAAATTGTAAAAAAAGGAATTGTATCGAAAATCCGAAAAATAGAATAACCTCAAAATTGTGAAAAAAGGAATAATATCGAAAAGGGACTTTTCGGAATAATATCGAAAAAGAAAACATTTCAAATTTGTTAAAAAAGGATTAGTATCGAAAATCCTAAGAGCAGAATAATCTCAAAACAGCTCAAAAGAGAATAATATTGATAAAAGACTTACTGGAACAATATCGAAAGTGTGAATAAAGGAATAGTATCGAAATTTCAAAAAACGGAATTAGATCGAAATTGTAAAAAAAGGAACAATATCGAAACGGGACTTTCCGGAATTATATCGAAACTGTGAAAAAAGGAATAAAATTGATAAAGGACTTTCCAGAATAATATCGAAAAGGTGAATTTTAATAACAGGTTTGAAAATTCCAAAAGCAGAATAAATAGACGGCAGTTTTTTTGCGGTTTTTTGCGGTTTTTAATTAAAGTGTAGTAATTACACTGTATAATTGTATAATATAAACAAAAATCTCTATAAGTAGAACAAAAATTTTGAATGTTGTGTTGTTGGCTATTTATAAAACGATTCAAAACAAAATGTATTGATTTTATTTTCAGTAGGCACTTCACACAAATTTACTATTACAATTATCTCTTGTTATAATTAATAACATTATATGCGGAAAAAATGACGTTATTGATTATTTTTTGTTCCAGGCAGAGCAATAGGAAAAAAATTATACCGCTTTTATATAATAGTTTTTTTTTTAAAAATTTAAACAATTGTGTGACATTCTAGTTTTTTAAAATATAAGTAAAAGGGAAAATTTTACTGAATCATTGAAAAGGTTCAATTATAGATGATATTGGTCCTCGGCAAGTGGAACAATGAGCTGTGTTGCTTTTTTGGACTTGTTGAATGCAGGGCTGAAAAAACAAAAAATGTCTGCAAGGCATTACTAATGCATTTCGTTCATTGACGGTACAAACAACGCACTTCGGTGACTCTGTTGAAGTAAAAGGAAGACATGGTGCAATTGAAAAAACGCGACTATGGTGCATTTTTTCAATTGCACCATAGTCGCGTTGGTCACGGCGGACTGGCTGATTGCAGGCAAGCTGTTGAAGCTCTTGAATTGTATGGACTATTACATGCTGGTTAAGCAATTTCATAAACTGCCAAAATCCTCTATGTCGATCACCCATGTTTTATTTCAAACGTCTATTGAGACTCTCTGCATTGTTATTGGTTTTGTGGTTCAAGCCATAAACACTGAATCCTTCTGGGGTCACTATACTGAGCCAATAACTCTCAAAATACCTTTTAAAAACAAGTAGTTTGATTTTGATTTCGCGACTAAATTGTGCAATCTCAATAACTCGAGATCCCCAAGCAACCAAGATCTTGTTTGCAGGAAGGAGACAAAGTGCTGAAACTTTTCGTGCCCACTTCTTTACTTGAATTTGGTGGCGGTATTCCCTCTGAAAACCGAGAATTGCTAATTGCTTGGTGATTGCATTTTCGAAATGAAACCTAAAGATAAGGAGATCATTAATTGATAACAAACTCTAAAAAACTTGGATAACTTAGAAACTGGGAACTAAGTAATAACAAAGTAATAACTTATACCTGCAACCATTCACCAAGCTTTCACTTCAAGTTGTTTTTAAAGCATTCTGTAGTCTTCGTTCAAAATTTGACATAATGGTGACTGGAGAGAAATCTAAAACTTCTTTTATTTTGGAAAAAACAAGCTTGTATAGAGCCTCGGATTTCGATGTCATTAAAGCGCATACAGCTGGAACAGATATTCCCCAAAGAGGGTTATCAGGATCAAAATTTATCTGATCCTCATCTGGAATTGGATCTTCAAGTACTGCTAAATACTCAACAGAAAATATCAAGAGCTGGTACCACTTACTTTCATGCATGCGTGGTGTCATGCTGGAAGCACAATAAATGTAACTATAATTTACAACTTTAAATAAAAGTGTTCTACCTAACGTTTTTAATATATCACTCTTTTCGTCTACGGGCTGTCCATTAATAACGTTAAAAAAATATGGAAGAAGGTGTCTAAATTTTTTTGAAAATTTTTGCTAAGGGTGAGGGGAGGAGGTCAATTAAAGCTGACATCAACAATGTTGCTTTATTTTTTTAATTTCGTTACTCAAAAAAAGAAAAATTTGCCTGCGTTTTTAGCGCAGCGTCTTTATTTAGGGGAGAAGGGTTATCAAAAATTGACGTAACTTTATAGGGGAAAGAAGTGTCTCTGGAAATTTAACAAATTGTTAACATGGGGGAGGGGGTAATGTAAAAATAGCCAAAGATTTGTTGATGTAGTTAATGGACAGCCCCCTAGATAAATATATGTATAAATATATAAATATTTTTTGAAAAAGTTAAATGCATACGAATAAATACCTATATGTTCCATCAACAAAACACACTTTGGCCAATTTCGCCTTGTTGATGACTAGCATATGCCCAAACAGCAATGCTACGTTATCCTGTTCTGCAACTGATCCCAAGAAAAGGTCTCCATAGCGATAGCACTCTTTGTCGTTTAGAACTTCAGCAGCTTCATTAGGTGATTTTGGGTTTGAAGGCTCATTTAGCCTTCTCCTTTTCTGAAGACTTGGGATAATTTGATGAAAACTAACAGATTTAGAAACAACTGCAGGAAACTCACTCAAAGTGTTTTGAAAAATTAAACGCAGGTCTTCAGATGTTGCTTCTGCTTTTTTCTTCATGGTACTTTTAGCAAGCAGCACTTCAAAGTCTGTTTCTCTTGAACTGCAACTGTGAACAGTTATAACCTGAAGTTTATCTTCATGAATAAAAGCTCTGCCTTTGCAGTTCATTCTTGTAAAAAACCGACAATTAAGATGCAGTTTGTCTTTATAAAGTTTATCTTTAGTGTATCCAAAATCACCAGACCAAAATACATTTGAATTTTTTTTTTCTCCTTTAGTTTCATTATAATTTTTTGATAAGTTCTCTTACGACATTTTAGAATATTGAGTTTTGTAAGAGTTTCTTAAATTTTAAGTTTTAATTCAAACGGAATTTTATTGCACGTGCAAATTAAACTGTTTATTGCGCGTGCAAATTAACTGTTCATTTAAACTGCTGTTATCCTTTGTAGGTAATGCTAACTTTGTTAAGCTAATGCGATATTAGGGTGAAAAGTTAGGAAA